AGGTCATTGCCAAAACCAACCATCACTGCACTACTCAAACAGCAACGTCTACACTGGCTTGGCCATCTTTGCAGGGTGGAAGATGGGCGCATCCCAAAGGACATCCTGTATGGGCAACTGCAGATTGGGAGAGAACGATAGGGCACCAGAAATCGCTCTTCAACGATGTCTGCAAGAAGGATATGAAGGCTTTTGGAATTGACCTAAACCTTAACAGGAGACAGGACAAAGTGGCACTCCCTTCTCAATCATGGAGTCCAACATCACGACAAGAAATGGTCACTTGAATTGCAACAGAAACGCGACCAAAGGAAATCGCCCATCAGTACAGTAGCCCTTAATGCCATGTATACTTGTGAGCACTGTAGCAGGACCTTCAAGTCTAACATTAGTTTTTACAGGCACAAGAGAAAATGCACCACTAGTCAATCAAAGGAAGTGATTCTTAAGCTCTGTTCAGCACTAGTGAGGCCTCCCCTGGAGTACTGTGTCCAGTTTTGGGCCCCACACTTCAAGAAGTATGTGGATAGTGTGGAATGAATCCAGCACTGGACAACAACATTAATCAGGGGTGAGACAAGACATTAACCTGGGAGACAAGACTTATGAGAAAAGGCTGAAAGAACTAAGTCTATTTAGCCTAGAGAAGAGAAGACTGAGAGAATTTGTTTACAGTTTTCAAATACCCGAAGAATGATTACAGAGAAAATGGAGATGGGCTTTTCTCTGTGGCTATAGGGGACAGGACCAGCAGCAATGGCCTCAAGCTGCAGCAGGGAAAATTTAGGCTGGAGGTTAGAAGGAACTTTCTGACTATGAGGGTGGTCAAGCATTGAAACAGGCTACCCAGAGAAGTTGTGGAATCTCCATCTTTGGAAACTTTCAAAAGCAGTTTAGACCGACACTTGGTTGGGATGGTTTAGTGAGGGATGATCCTGCCTTGAGCAGGCGGCTGGACTAGATGACCTTTATGAGGTCCTTCCAGCACCACTTTCCTATGGTTCTATGATCCCACAAGAAACTGAATGTCTGTAAGGGCAAACAGCTCTAAGCATAAGTATCAAAAGGAATATCATATAAATTGGACCCAGGTTTGGGAAAATAAAAGTTCTCAGAACCTCCACCAAAACATCAACTTTTGCTCCATATCCCCCTTATCCAATCAATGCTACGCTATAAAATAAACTTTGAATGACAGAGAAACAGGAGACCATTAATTCTAGTGGTTGTATATTACACTGAGTGTTCAGGTCATGTGGTGACCTGATGCCCTCTTACATGATGGTTTGTAGCAAGAACAGAAAATAAGAAAATAAGGCCTTGATACAACATTAATTGAAGTCAATGGGAGTTTTTTTTATTTTACATACTTGGGCATTGTATCAAGCCCCAAGTATGTATGGAATGAGCTGTACTCTGCCAGTCATTTACAGGCAGCACAGGTACTCAAGTTGTTGCCTGACACACCCTCTTATAAGACTGTTGCTTAAAATTTTATCATAATTAAACTATTCAGATTGAATTTCGCATGCCAGGTATCTGTCTCAGATCAATGTTTTCAACCTTTTCAAGATAAATGGTTTCCACCATTTCTGAAGACAGGCTTAAGGAAAATATATTGTTTATTCGTTTAAAAATGCTTCATTAACATTCTAGCAACTCCATTTTGGGGGGTCAAGGAATTGTATTTCTGGCCACACTGTCACCTTTGTATCACCTGCAATAACTGCCCCAAATTTGGTAAACTAGTAAACCTCAAAAATTCCCAAATTTACACACATTTAAGAGAAACTTCATAGGGTTTTGCAGCTGACATCTCTCAAGATTTTACCAGCATCAAATCTATTCTACTCCCTTATTGCTTCTCCATACAGATCAGACTGCACATATACAACCGCTGGAGTAAGCCCAGTACATGCTGAGGTTATAAAGACCGAGGAAACCTTCCTAGCAATTCATGAGCTGGGAGATTCATGGGCTCTTATCCCTCTTACTTGCACTCCAGTATCATGGAGGGTGAATCTCAAATACAAAGGGATGAGTAAGATGGATAAAGGTGAAAGGATGCATAGTATTGAAGAAATGGAAGGAACCAGAAGGGGTGAAGGAGATAGTGGGGGAGGGGTTGGGGATCAGGTTGGAGGTGGAAGAATAGAAGCCCCTGGAAGGGAACATGGAAAACAAAGGGCCAAAGTTGTGGGGGAAGATAGCAAGGGGGGGAGGACAGCAAGAAGGGAGGGAGAAGAGTCAGATATCATGGGACAAGCAAGAACCAGGAAGGGACAGCAACAAAGGAGGGGAAAGATAAAAGCTGCAGTAGTAGGGGCAGAATGATCTGGAACCATATTTCTGCACATAACTGAAAACCATAATAAGAAGCATGTTTCAACCTCCTATTGGCAGGCCTATATGAAAAATGACACCTGACTATGGCTTCCAGTTATTCTGTCACCTCATCACAGAAGACTGCTCTGTGGATGTGAAAATCCCAAACCTACTAAAAATCACAGCCCTACTGAAAAGGCATGTGAGTGGTTTACACTGTGAACTTCTGATTCTCCATTTTGTAAGTTAAAAATGTAGAAAACTACATTTAAAAAGAAACCCAATAAAGCACTTTGAAGTCTGCAAAGTAAAGAATTCAAAAGCTGGAAGTTTCAAAAGTAAGGTAGCCAGTACCAGGAGGCTTCCTGTCTCATTCACTGCACAGCCTGAATGAGCATTTGCAGTTGTTCTTTTTATCTTCATCATTGTGTGCGTCACTCCATGTATTATTTAAGACACAAGATGCAAATCCCACACAAAATTCAGAACTATTAATTTCCTCACAAGATTCTCTATGTTGCCCTCATCATGAGATTTTAGTGAAGCATAAATGTTAATGAATTCATCTTTACAGCAACCGTCAGACAAGAAACTGAGGACAGAGATTAAAGTCAAAGTTAAATAATGTGTCCATTAATTTGGGGTGTCCAGTTTTAGCAACCTGTGACCTAATTTTGCAGAATACTTAACATTTTATAGTACCTGATACTTTTAGAGCAAAGACCCAATTTACAAAGAAGATACAGAATGCCTTAAGTTGAACAAGAAGAAAGAAAGAACACCAAATATTCACAGGAGGCGACTAGGTGACCTGCAAGCACTGCATAGGACTTGTGACAGAAGAAAGAACAGAATCCAATTTTCCACTTTTGCCCTTTTAATCATCAGGCTGTCCTTTTTCCTCCATAGTTGCCTACCTCATTCACCACAGACCTTAGGGTCAACAATCACAATCACTACACAGACCTGATTTATTCCCAGAGCATTCCCTTCTGTGTTCTAATAGAAGAAGACGGCCAGTGTAAAAAATAGTATTTGATCATGTAATTAAATAATGCTTCATAAGGCATGCTGACAAGGAAGGTGAATGCCTAGGAAACCTTAATTCAACATTTGGGGTACTCAACGTCACTAACAATGTTTTTTTATACACAGCTTTTACTTTCCTTTAATATAAGACATAGTAGAAGAATTGTTCAGTAAAGTGCAAAGACCCTGATAGTAGAGAAATGCAGGCTGCTCTGAATTCCAGGATATTACATCACGTTATGTTAAAACTAGAATGTATGGAAGAATTTGATTATGAGGTGATCCAGTAAAGTTCCTTAAATCTTGTAGTATCTCTCAACAATACTATAGACAGTGGAATTGGACTGAGAAGAGAGCATGCAAGAGGTACCACTGGTCTGTCTATAATATCTAGGTGAAATCAGTGAACAGTACTGACTCAGTCATTCAGTAGTCTCCCTACAGAATCTGGCTAAAGCAGTGACAAGAGGCCATGAGGCCCAGTAAGCTGAGACAGGATCTGATAGATGTTCTGGGGCTCAAGAAGAGATCTGAAACCTGTATTGCAGCAGAAATGCTGTCACAAGCTGTTGCCTAGAACTGACTTTGTGAAGTCCCTAACTTGTGTTAACATGACAGTGTTCTCGTGCCAGTGAATATAGCAACTGGCAGAATGCCTTAAAGACGAAGTTCAAAGTTGAGGCAAGAGGCCTTTTATTAAGCAAATCTTTAGAGGCAGGGTTTCTGTCTAAGTATAAGCACACTTTTAATTAAAAATCTTGATCCATCGCCTGACTAGTACATCCTATTGATGACAGAAAATGGAAGTTGTTTTTCCATGTTTTCTTTTCCATTTAAATAGTGTTGAAGAGCAATTCTATGCACCCTGTACTTCAGGAAGAACATATGTAGCTATTTATGTGAATTCTTCTTACAGTATCATGCAGGATGCTACAAAGGAGGAACTGAAGGAAAAAGTGGGCCTCTGCCATTTGCATGCAGTTGTAAATGAACTAATAAAGCCAATTTTCATATACAATTAACATACGTGACCAATTTCAACTAACACCTCCATAATTGAGGGAAATAGTCATTTAATATTTAATAACTCCTCAGATTCAGGAGCTATATAGGTCATTTTCATTATAAATCTCCATTTATCAATGCTATAATAAGAAATACAGGGGGGAAACAACCAAAAGAGAAGTAACTACTATAAGAAGTTCCTAAGCATGCTATAGGACTTGATCTAAAGCCTACTTAAATCAGAACAAAACCACTATTGATTTTGATGGGCTTTGAGTTTTGTGCCTTCAGACATTTGTGGGTATGATCAAGGTTTTGAGGCTAAATCTGGTGTCTGTTAGGAGAAGGAAGAAGGGAACAGAACTTTCAGGCACAATGCCTGAAATACTGTAGGAAAGGTAAATGGCAAAACATCATTTTAAAAAAGAACATTTTCTCATGCTGTTACATGTCAGATAAAACCTACAGACCCTTGAGTGAGCAATTAATTTATATAAGCGTATACTGAAAGCATAAAGGAAGGCTTTTTTGTTTATATTGCTATTATTCAGAACTTAAAACTGGACTGTTAACACTATATTATAACAGCTAAGTGAATACATATAAATTCCATTACTGTGCAGAAAGTTTAATGTACTTACACATCCGTGGGCACTGTGATAACATTAAGTCTGTAATTCAAAAATGGACTGGCAATTTCAATATGCTGTTCAGATTTCTTCACTATAGGCTCTGAAAAAAAATGTTGTAAAGCCTCTTATGTGTGCTAAGTAATGAAACAGTGACATTGTTCAAAGTAATATTCACAAATAAAGGTTAATACCAGGCTATTCTTGGTATAATTCAAGCTAAGATGTGGCATATTAGAAAAGTACATAACTTGTTAAAGTTCCAATTCATTATACTTTTTGAAAAATAATTTATTTTTGGACATATGCTTTACAGAAGATTTGAATGCACCAGGAGTTTTGAAATATGATTTCACAGTATCATTTCTGTTCATGAGATCCGTTTAAAACCTTCATTACAGCTGACTTGCTCTAATAGTAGCCTGAAAGCAATCAAACCAATAGGACCAAATCTTGATAGCATTGTTCAATTTTTATTTAATTCTAGCAAGAACATTCCAGCTGAGCTCAATAAAGTTTGACTAGTTAAGGTATTAGATTTAGATAGATGCACTGAAAAATGTACGTAAAGCATAAAATAAATATAATAAAATACTTAATGTGTAAAAAAAAGTCTTCATTCATACCAAGATCTGCATGAATGCTGGGTCAGATTCTAATGCTGAAAATCCATTAATGTATCCACCGTTTTAGTACACTGTAATCTGACCATTAAGACTGAGTCATAAAAAAGCACCAAGGAAGAAGAGGACCAATCCACCTTTTGCATTAATAGTTTTTCAGGGCCTCTAGTAGGGTTCCTAGGACACTTGGAACCACTTGTATGTATAAGTATTACTTTTATATCAGCCCTGGTTTGATCAATCTGAGTGCCCTTGCGTGCAAGTGTTCACAGGGCTTAGGTCACCCTAAAAATGGGATGCCTGATAAGAAGTTATTCACTTCAGTGGTAAACTAACTTTAGATCAATAAGGGGTAGACCTGACCTAGTGAATGCCTGCATGCATTCACAGCACAGCCCCGGGGCTGGGAAATGCCAGCCACACACCACAGCCCCAGGGCTGTGCTGTTCTCCCCACACACCCCGTCCCAACCTTGACAGGGCTATTTTTAACCCTCCCCCGCCAATAACCTCCCCTCCAGACAGGGTAGCTCCTCCTGCAGACCTGCTGGCTCTCTTCAGCAGACCTGCCAGCCCCTACTGGATGTGCCAACCTCCTCCCAGCCCCACCAGTCCCCCCCTTTCCTCTGGCTGCTCATGCCACGCCCAACAAATGGCAAACCCCAATGCCACTCCTGGTTTAGGTGGCCTAAAATAAGATGCTTAAACCTCAGGCAGGCCCCACAAATGCTTGTTTGCCCCCTGGTAGTGCTAGGAAAATATGACATGACATACAGCTGTTCAAGTGCCCAGTCATCCACAGTGCTACAAAGCAGAGCAAGAGCATGTACTGTATGTGTACAGAAATTTCAGAGTGCTTTGTGGAGGACCTGAGCTAGCTTTTGTACTAGAAGCAGTATAGGCATATTGGTGCAGTATTCTGCCTGATCTAATTACCCTTCTTCTTAAGGATAAAATGTTGCCTAAAGTGACTATCCTGTATTCGTTATGATCTGGCTTATTTTGTTGAATACAAAAGTTGTCAAAAGCATGTCTAAAGCTAGCTTGGGTATCCATCCCCAAGCAATGTAGTTATCCCCTAAAACACAGACCAATTCTAAGGGTATATTTACCTTAATATTTAGGGTTGATCAAGGGCAACTTTCACTCAAGCAGAGCCATATGAGCTACCACTCTCCATCAATGTGTTATTTTGCAACCTTCCCCAAAACCATCTACATTATGCTTCTTGTTCCTCAGGGAGAGCCCTCCTAAGAATTTGTTTGTTGTCTCTCTTTCTGTACTTGACTAGGTACAACCAGTAGAGGGCTGGAAATCAAGAACAGGAAATCTAGAAATTGTTGACTGAAGATGTCCTGTTCTTATAGCCTGCAGTATCTTCCAAACATCCTGCAGAGAGAAGTGAACTAAGAGGGAGGCTCAGCTTTGTACCTAGAAATTTCAGGGTCAGGCAGCTACTACTGGATGTCAGTCTTAGAGTTTTTCAGTGTAGATGGTCTGTAGTTTAAATGGAGGCCATAAGGTCAACACTAACTCTCTGTACACAGATTACCTAGTATGTAAGGAGCCCCAATCCTGGCAGTAGGATTATTCACATACTTAAAGGTAAGTATATTTAAGTGCTTTTCTGACTCAGTCTCAGAATGCTCCTATAGCACTATTTATTTGCAGTTTTTGCCTTTTCAGTTAGGATGTGGCTAAGTCAATCACTGGCTCTCTCTAATGTAGGTTTGGGGATTTCTTAAAAACATTATGAGCTATCCTTCCTCTCAGACATAGACATACACCTGTATGAAAGAGTATGTGGATGGGAGAATAAGAGAGAAAAAGAAAAAGATAAAAAATAAGATGTTCATTCCTGGAATTATGCTAGAATTTGTCCAAATACACATTCATAATTGTGACACCAAAAACTTTAATGGGGATTTAATGCTAATTAAAAGTAGTTTGAGACTTGAAAAAGCAAACCTTGGGCTTCATCTGTCACAATAGTTTCTTTTTTTTGGCGGAAAAGTTTCCATTGAGGGATTGGTGATGGTTTTGGTGGCACTATCAAAGGACAGGACCTAGTTCTGGTCACCAGCACAGGATGACTATATATATGAGAAAGGCCATATTGCCTTAACTTCTCAGAAGAATCAGCCTACAAAACAAAGAGAGATCATCTGAATGAGGGCAAGATCTCTTTTCTAATAGACCTAAACAGTAAACACCAAATCTTAGTAAATATTTTTCTTTGGGTGATAAATAAGCAAGAAAAATTCAGTTGGCAACTTCTTTCCAAACATTTTCCAAACATTTTCTAGCAAAGATGACTATTCAGCAGAAAAGTATAATAGTACATTTATAAGTGTTTACATTTTTTTTTTACTTTTCATACTGAAATTTATGCTACAAAAGGTGTTTAGTTAATATAATATATATAAATGTATGCTTTCAGGCTCTTTTGATAAACACAAAGTAAAGTAGAATATAAAGCGAGAAAGGTTGACAACACTTTAAATATTTTCTTCTAAAGCACTGGCTTCTGCTTTATATTGAGTCATATAGTAAGGTACAGTTCTACTGAGAAACTGGTCATTTATGTGGTTTGTAAAAATCTCTATAGGGTAAAATGACTCCATGGCTATTTTTTTTCTTTAAATGGGATTAACCCTTAATCTCAATTTTTACTTTAGAAAACTCATTCATGTATAAAGTACTAAACTTGGCTCTTACAGTCAGAACTTTTAAGAACAGCTCTAGGCCATGGAGAGATGCAATGCTTGAAGTGCTCTGAACACCTCTGAAGTGCTTCAAATAGTGAACATAGAGCTATTCATAACTCAAGAAACACTTACCAGTGTAAGTGTTTCTTGAGTTATGAATATCCATTGTTTCTTGAGTTATGAATTTTACCAGTGTAAAATGACCAGTGTTTAAAAAACAATCCTCAAAAATTAGGAACATCTTTGAAGTACTTCCTTTTGAAACATTTCTTGAAAGTTCGGTATGCTCTAAGAAACAAGAAGGGGGGTTGCTCAGTCCTCCAGCATCCCAAAGTGCTTTGCTACCTTCCGTCCCCCATGAGGGGAAGGGGGAAGAGTGGGGTGGACCACCAGTGAGCATTCTCCTGTATGCTTAGCCATCCTCGGCAATCTGCAATGCCCAGGAGGCACAAGAAGAATCCTCTCTGGGTTCTGGGAGGTGGAACCTTCAGGACTGAGCAACCTGTGGCAGAGGGAGGGGTGGCAGGTGGAGGCCATACATCTGGATGGCACTAAAATGCTCCATATCTGAAGCATTTCAAATTGGAGTAGAATGCAAAACACTTAAAATGTACATCTGTCCATGACTTTATATATAGGATTGAGGGATGTTCATTCCATAAAAACTTACTGTCTAATATTTAAGCTATTCCTTCACTACTTAATGTTCAGTTTTAATATCTGTAGATATATTATCTGTAGATAATATTCACAGAAACTCTTCTATGTTTCTATTTTACAAACATAACTTTTAATGCTTAGTAAAGACATCACCAATTCTCTTTAAATGCACTTATCAGACAGCATTCTTCACCATGCCTGCTTATTGCCTGTTGTCCCTGTGACTATATAAACTAGAAATTCCACAAGATTACTGTGGCTATGTTTGTTGGCATGACTGAGAAGGGAGCAAATCAACTGAGAATGAAAAAAAAAATCGACAAACCATTTCATTTGACAATTGATTTGGACAGATAATTCATAGAAGAGGGGCCTGGTGGCATACATATTCAAACAGACATAAGTTATATTACCTGTGTTTAAAATGATTACAAGGGAACTATTCTAACTGTTTTACTGTAGAGGTTAGCAGTCAACTGTTGCCCAAAATACATCCTAGAACAGTTTTCAAATATTGATATTTTTTCTTTTCCTTTTTAAAAAAAAAAAACTTTCAGAAGGCAGCCAAATATAGCTACGGGATGCTATAGAAACACACTCCCTAACAAGGCTGGACAAAATAGAAAATGCCAAAATCTTTGGGGGAAGTGCTGACCCCCAATGAAGTCAATGACAAAACAACCATTGACTTCAATACAGCTAAGCTTTCATCCCAATAATTCAACTAATATTCCAAAATTTAATTATAGTCATTGGTAGATTCCTTAGACCAGGGGTCAGCAACATAGCCCGCAGGCAGGTTCTGGCCAGTGGAGCCACTGGATCCATCTTATGGGCTTTCTCTGTGCCCACGCCCATGATAAGCAGCAAGAAACTGCACTAGAGCCAGGCAACTTCCAGCTGTAGGCACTGCCACTACTGCTTTTTCCCTCTACTTCTAGCTTCTCCCCAGCTGTAATGTGGACACACCTTTTAGCTGGTGGGGAGCTGTTTCAGGGCCAGGGAGCTGCAAACTGCTGCTGCCGCCATTCTCTCCCCTGATTGTGCCGCCGCCCCCCCTCTCGCCCCCCCACTGCCCACAGTGCGAAGAACAGCAGCAGCAAAAGGGATGCAGCTTTCAGTTGCCCAGCCCTGGCTCAGCTCCACACTGGCTAGAAGCTGCACACATCCCAGTCCCCATTTCCCAGCTGGGGCACGAGTGCAGCTCCCAGGTGCCAGGCCCTGGCATGGGCACAAGCAAACGGGCCAGCCACTGACATCCTACAGCAGCTCCCCAGCCTGCATCAGCCCGAAGCTAGGTAGTCCTGGCTTGAGCCTTGAGAAAAGTTGCCAGCTCCAGCCTTAAACAATAAACGCAGCTTGAACTCAGCTTGCTCCAGTGATATCCAGAAAAAAATACTCTTGTTTCTCTAATTAAGTTCTCTTAAGCTGCATTCTCCCATGATTCATTATAAAATGACTATGTCAGACATCTAGTGACTTGTCAGTCTCACCCCATCTGGACTATCAAGCCTCTTTTTCAATAATCTCTTTGTCCTTAGAGACTGAGGACAAGTTTGGAAATCAGTTCCCTTAAGGCAGGAGAGAATGCAAATACTAAGCTACCACTTCCAAACTGCTTTCTGATGACTATTATTTTTTTATTACTATCTTAGATGCATCAGTGTAAAACAACTTGAATTATACGGTATAAAATTATAGATGACAAAGTGGTCCTTATAGTAACACAATATAATTTAAACAAAGAATATAATCCTGGAATCAAGTGGAATTAAACACCAATCTTTCAGAACATTTTAGAAAAATAACACCATACATTTCCTTATTCTATAAAGACTACTTGCATTTAAGTGGTCTAGCTGCCAGCTACAGAAATCAAATTGAAAAAAAGAATCTGTTTTTATTTCCGCAAACACAAGCTATTATTTCAAGAATGCTTTCCTCTATCGTTGTAAATAGCTTTTGGGTTGCTTGAATGATTAATTGCAAAAATAAATTCAAATTCCCGCTGCTTCTCCTCCCTCTACCCTCTGCCAAAGTATGGAATACTACATCTAGTATCCATTTACTTTCATCAGTCATGACATTCACAAGTTAAATGAACATTTACTGGCTATTTTCTGTTAATATATTATTTTATTAGAAAGTATACCTCAAATAATTAATTAATCTTCATTCTAAAATATATATTTGTTCACATTTTCTTATTTTGCTTTTTATAAATATTAATGTATTTAGTATAATTAAAGTAAGTCTTTAATTTAACAAGCTTTAGTCCAAATTTTCATGACCTCCATGACCATAAAAACTTTAAATAGAGGGAGTCAAGAATATAAAATTGACTAGATAAAAACTGACAACACTGACAAGTACAGGGTAATGCACTTGGGTAGGAAGAACCAGCAACACACCTACAGGCTGGGGAACTCCCTTCTCGCCAGCATTGAGACAGAAAAGGATCTTGGAGTCATCACTGATGCCACAATGAACATGGGCCGACAGTGTGGGGACGCAGTCAGAATGGCCAACCATACCTTGTTGTGCATCCACAGATGCATGTCAAGCAGGTCCAAGGAGGTGATCCTCCCCCTCTATGCGACACTGGTCAGGCCACAGCTGGAGTACTGCGTCCAGGTCTGGGCGCCGCACTTCAGGAAGGATGTGGCCAGCATGGAGAGGGTCCAAAGGAGGGCCACCCGCATGATCAGGGGTCAGCAGGGCAGGCCCTATGAGGAGAGGCTAAAGGACCTGAACCTGTTCAGCCTCCAAAAGAGAAGGCTGAGAGGGGATCTAGTGGCAGTCTGCAAACTAGTCAAGGGGGACCAGCAGGCATTGGGAAAGTCCCTGTTCCCCCGAGCAATCCCAGGAGTTACAAGAAACAACAGACACAAGCTAGCAGAGGGTAGTTTCAGGCTAGACATAGGAAGCGTTATTTCACTGTCAGGGCGGCTAGGACCTGGAACCAACTTCCAAAAGAAGTGGTGCTGACTCCTACCCTGGGGGTCTTTAAAAGGAGGATGGACGAACATCTGGCCGGGGTCGTTTGACCCCAGTACTCTTTCCTGCCACAGCAGTGGGTCGGACTAGATGATCTCCTCAGTTCCCTTCCGACCCTACCAACTATGAAACTATGAAAAACATAAATTATCAAGACTATGGTAGCGAAAAGGAAGACAATATAATTAAATGTTGAAGGCAGGCTAGATTTCCACCCTACAGACTAACCATAATATATATTAAGATACTATTACATATTAAGATACTTATTTTGTACACACACACATACACTTTCAAACTTTTGCAGGCTTCAGCCATGTTAGTCTTAATTTAATACTAACACAGCTAACTGCACCTCCAGGATTAAATGTATTCAGAAATAAACAAAACCAAATACACATTACCAGGTGATTTGTTCTTTGGTTATGAGTTTTTTTACAACATACATTTTATTAAATAAGAATCTTAGGCCCGCTATACACATTACAGATATTGTGCAATTGAACTGGTTAATTGTACAACTACCTTAAGAACAGCTGCGTGTGCAAAGTAGCTATCACAAGATAAAAGGCTCCAACAAGCTATAAAGTTAGACCTGAAAAATGTGTACTATGTTTATAGCTGGTTGCTATTGAGCTTTAATTTGCACATGTAGCAGGGTTTCCCCTGTGGCTCCCAGCTGCAGGGTTGCACTATGCCCAGCCTGAAACCCCTGAGCCCTGGGGATCGCAGCTGCTACTATCCCCAAAGCTTGGGGGTGCGCAAAACCCCAGGGCCCACATGCGCAGCTGGGACCAAGAGCCCCATCAGACACAGGACTCTTGCTTCCCGCTGTGCCTGACCCCCATGGCTGGAAGCCCCCTTAGCAAGGGGGGATCCAAGCTGTGAGAGCCTGCTTCTTGCCAATGCAGGGAAAGCCCAAGATTGGGCGAAAAGGCATGACTATGACTAGATCTAATGCACAGTCACACAATCATGCTTCCTGCCAAGCATGCCTGGTATGGCAGGAGGCGTGACTGTGTGGATCACACACTAATTCCAATCATACCTTTACCTGTACATGTAGAGGGGGCCTTAATTGTAAAACAGCTGTTATTTTTCTGACCATAAAACCTTACCATTTGTGCTAATGCAAAGATATTTTCGTCAAACAAATGAAGAGGTATACAGTTAGCATACACCACCATTTGTGGCTGTGTTGGCACTGAAGAGCCTAGAAAACAGAGACAGATATTAGAACTTCTGAGAACTGAACAAAGATAAAATAACTTTTGAAAAACATAACACCAAATGATTCTAATTCCCAGTGCAATACTATCCTTCTACAGTATGGTTGAAATATTACATTTGGGAGAGATGCTTAAAAACTACACAGAGGAATCTGTTAGAAAAGCCCTGCTGGTTTTTTTGTCCATGCCAGTTTTGCACACTAGCACCTTTTAAATACATTGTTTCACACAAAACATTGCAGGAGGACCTTCTTCAAAAAAGCTACAGGTCAAGAGATAACTTTTGGTCTTTGGGCTGGGGGAGATTTTTCTGGCAGATGCTAAGATAATAGTATTGTCATAGTAAAGAGCACAGTATAAACATCTAGACAGAACAGATAAAAATGTATAGACAGACAATTTCCATTTCTAATATTGGATCTTACAAAAATTAAAAAAAGACTTTAGGGAAAAATCTGTGAGAAGCATGCGAGACTTGAAATCACTGTGAAGGAAAGTTTAAAAGATATCATGACTCTGTAATATAGTTTTTAAATCATGGAGTACAAAACTGACTCAAAAACAAAGGGTTCATAATAAATTCCATAAAATGTCTTTTACGGACATGTTTTGTTCTTGTTCTGGTATTTCAGCCTGTAAGGAAGGCTAATGACTCTCCCATGCTTGTGGAAGATAGATCAGGGATGGGCAAAATAGAGTCCATGGGCCGGATCTGGCCTGCCAAGGGATTTTGTCTGGCCTGCGGCAGGGCCCTCAGCCCCAAGCAGCATAGGTGCAAAGAGAAGCCCAAGCTGTAGCATGTGTGGCTGGTTCTGGTGCCCCTGGGTACACAGCAGGCAGGGGCAGTGCAACAGCTAGACTCCGCCTTCTGGTAGTCCCCGCAGTGGCGGCTCCTTCTAGCTGCCACTGCCAGTGTCTGCCACTAGGGGGTGGGGGGAACCTGCCCTTGCTACCTGGCACCACAGCCCACCCCAAATGAAAGGGAATCAGTCTATGGAGTCTCCATGGAGACTGACCTGGGACCTGTGTGGGTCAGGTTTGCAGCTAGGCAAACGAGATGGAGCTATGGGTGGGCAAGGAGCAGTGTCCAGGAGCAGGATGCCTTTCCCCACCCACCTGTAGCCCCATCCCATCCACTCAGCCACATGCCCTGCCTGCGCAGGACCACAGGATCACCAGGTGGTGAAAGTGCAGGGCCAGGGACCAGGACAGAGCAGTGATTCACTCCCTGCATGCCCCTGCCTGTGGAACCAATGCCTGTTGCAGGGATATGCGGGGAGTGGCTTGTTGCTCTGCCTCAAGCCCCTTAGATGGGCATATCTATATATGTGTGTGCGTGAGTGTGTGTGTGTGTGTGTGTGTGTGTGTGTGTGTGTGTGTACATATATACACACACATACAATTTTCAAAACAAATAACATTTTAGTTTATACTGACAAGAAGTGGCTAGAAAATATGTGCAAGTGGACAGAGTATATAGCTTCCTCAGAGATTTCATACTCCAATGACCTGAAGGTTATGTGCAGATTCAAATCTATTTGAATAGCTCTGGTTCTTGAACAATCTTTCTAAAACTCTTTAAATTCAGCATCTCTGTCAAATACGTTGCTTGTGCATTAGAACTACTTTCCAGTTGGCCTTTATTATTTTTTTCCATATGTTTGTGACTCCAGTGCTAACCATAGCTGTTATGTTAGCTATGGGTTTCATTTATGTAAAAGCAAGGATGTCATCTGGGTGTGATCTCAGTCCCCTGCAGACATTTCTGATCTGCTACAAAAGCAGCACCAAAAGCTCCCTATGTACAACATGTTACAGAACAGTAAGTGCCATAAGTCATTCTAATCTCATCTCATGTGAGAAAACAAGTACTTCACTGACTACCAGGTGGAACCTAAAGCTGCAATCCCCAGTCCAGATGGGTTGTGAAATGACATGTCTAGGAGGCGCAGAATAAATTATTAGAGCGTGGAAATCATTAGCCAACTGCTGTATCATATCCACTTTATTCATATTAGTGGAATATTAAAAAGAAACTGCTTTTTAGAAATGCAACAATATTTGCTTATTTTTTCACTGTATTAAAATCCATCAGATGAAAATGTTATCTATGACACTTTATATGACACTAAGTATGCTGCTGACTAGCATAAAATCAAAGTCTGTGATTTTGGCTAAAACAGAAAACATTGCTAAATGTGAATTATTAGGTGAAATGTTTGCAGACCATGATATTGGTAAATGCTTAGATTCAGTACTGCCTATCATTAGATAGGTCACTGAGGACTTAAGAATTGCACAGTTAGCAGGAAAAGATGTCAGATCTTAGCAGGCACACCATTTTGCTCTTTTATAAATTCCGTCACAGAAAGGTAATATGAGCTATGCATTTGGACCAAACTGTCCCCCTTTACCATTGGAACATTACCAGAATTAGGTCAAGCAAGGCTTCTCCATTAAACTCAATTTAGAGGCCTGGCCAAAATTTTAGTGTGTGTATGTACGGTTTTAGAGGCATTTCCCCCTGTTCACAGAAACAGGATGTGTCTTTGTGTTGTAAGTATCTCAAAATGATAATACATACTTGAAAGATTTTCAATACTAATAATATTAGGTTCTAATTTCAATCTGTGACTGAAAACTTTATTCTGAATAGAAAAAAAGCAAAATGGTGAGAACAAAGTTCTTTTTGTACATAATAATCATCTTAGGTACTTATATGGCCCTTATTACTATGGTCTCTGTGTGCCTCATAATCCTTTAAAGTATTTGCATTTCTCCAACCACTTCAAAGAAGTGGAGAAATACTATCATCTCATTTTATACATGGGGGAACTGAGGCACAAAGAGACTGATTTACCCCAAATCACACCAGAAATCTATAGTAAAATAGTCTTCAAAGCCCTGCCTAGCCCCTTATCTATAGAAACATCATCCCTTTTGGGGCTGTTTGAGGTTATTAGAAACAGGGAGAAAAATAAAGAATTATCTAGAGCTTAGGCAGGGAAGAAGACTGGTGATTGCCCAGTATGCACAAGACAGGGCTAGAATCAAATGTAACTGGATACTGAGGATAGCAGATGGAATTATGAACTGCTGGGGGACACAGTATGCCAAAATGTAGGTTATTTCCATAAGGTGAGCAAACCCTTTGGTACCTGCCTTTACCAGGTGACATCTTTTCACTTTAAATAAGTATAAAACCTACTGATTAATTGTTAATAAGTTAAATGTGTTTAGTGATTAAAAATAACAATATTAACAGACTCAAGATACCAAGAGTTAAAACAACATAGGACAAATACTCAGAGTTCAATCATTTAAACAAGTTATTTTGCCATTTTAGAAACAAAATATATATTTGTTAGAAGTCATTAAATAGCAACCTAGATAAGTTCATCTCAATGGGTGCGTCCAGAGGAGCACTCACGTGCCACTTGCAGCATCTTAAACCCCCTTTGAGATGCTGCAAGCTGCATGTGTGGGAACACAAAAACAATCCCCATGCAGCAAATTTGCAGCATGGGGTAAAATTAGACCCCTGGATCCAGGAGGCAACCCCCCCACCGCCAAACAGTGGAGCAAGGCATGGCCCAGGACCGTGCCCTGAAGCATCTGGAGGCTCGCTCCTCCACAGAGATGCTCTGGTAGCCAACCAGAGCATCACTATGGCTGGCCCTTGCCCCAGTGCTGAAGCACTCTACCTGCCCATGCGGGGCAAACAGCAGTGCAGGCTGCAGGAACCTGGATCCGGCTTTGTGTCAGGTAAGTAAGATGGGTGGGAGGGAGGGGGGCTGCTGCCGGGTCCCAGCTCCCAGATTGCTCCCCCCACTCCCTAATCACTCCCCTGCACAGCCCCCACTCCCTCAATGCACCCCTGCCCTGCCCCCACTCTCCAATCACTTCCCTGCCCAGCCCCTGCTCCCCGATCACTCTCCTGCACAGCCCTCTCTCTGATCGCTCCCCTACCTTCCCCTGCTCCCTGATCACTCCCCCCGCTCCCTGCTTGCTCCCATGCCCGCCCCCCACACAGCCCACACTCACCAGCAGTAGCAGTGGTGGTCGAGGCCACTCGGGGCCTCATGGCAGAGCCTCCCCTGCACGGTGTGGGGCAGTGAGGGGCAGCAGGGATTGGCTCCAGCGACAGTGGCACCAGTGCTGCCACTGCCACATCACATGGGTGAAGCCTAGCTCAGCAGGGCACTGCCAGGTGCTGTCTGGCAGCTCCAGCTGTCCCCCAGAGGCTGGCACCACTCAGCCTGAGTGGCCCCAAGCTGCCAAACAGCCCGCAGCACCGCGTGGCACCCTGCCAGCCGGGTTGCACTCTGGCAATGCAGCAGTGGCAGCTCGGGTGCCAGGCCGCTGGGGCTGATCCCTGCTGTCCCCCACTGCACCGACAGCCCCTGCTACAGCCCGTGAGTACAGGGACGCTGGGGCCAGGCAGGGCAGGGATTGGGGGCTGGGACTTGTCAGGGGAATGAGGGGGGTGACTGGTGACTGGGGCCAGGCGGAGGGCCATGTGTCCTGCAGGAGGGAAAGTGGTAGCCCCTGCAGGGGGGCATGAGGTCCCTGTTGGGGGACTTTGGCCCCTGTTGGGGGGTTGTGGCCCCTGTTGAGGGACTGTGGGCCTATGGGGGTGAAGCCTGTGAGCTGTGGGGGGGCTATGCCCTGCAGGGGGCAGGGGACACTTCTGAGAAGCCCCCCATAGGCTTCCCCACACACACAGTCCCTCCACAATCCACCCACAAACCCCACACCTCCAAGCCCGCCCCCCCGACCGCTCACCCATGTATCTGGCCCTGTGGGTCAGGATTGAGGGGACTGGGTTGGGTGGTAGACTGTGGACTGTGAATGTCGGGGCAAGGGCAGGGGCAGAGCACTGGCATATCAGTGCTACTCAGTGCTGCACATCCTGATGAGTGAAGAGGGGAGGGGCAGCTCTGATTTTTCTATGACAAAAAAGCCAAAAGTCAATGCCAAACTG